TGGAAAATCAACACCGGTTGCATAGTATACCTTTAACGTCCTCCGACAGAGAGATAAGGCTCTGAAAGGCAAAGCTCAGTACCTACTTTTATACCTTACAAAAATCCAAACACACACTCCCCCCAAGGGAACCAACCCACCCACCGCATAAAGAACTTTCTCACACTTGAACAACAACTTGAGTTCAAGACCCTTTGCTGTTAGGTTAATATATCTTTCACTGGCTAGATGGATCTCCTAATAACAGCAGTGTAACTCATTCTTATCTCTCATGACCTCGTTTTGAGCCTGTGAGGCTAAGAACAGACATACCTTAACATTTTTTACTCCACATATTTTAAAAAGACAAATTTTCTACCTAAAACAACGAGAGAAAATGGGCTACCAAGGCAGATGGTATCGTTTGGCCCTTTTGCTGCGCAGTGCAGCGCCATATCCTCAGTTGAGGCAGTTGCAGTAGAAGACGTGGGCGGAGTCAAACCCCAAACGACACGCACACAAAAAACGTATTGATCAGAATATCTTCTGATGAATATATACAACACTTGCTTTATCTATACATTTTATTTTGATAGCTGGGAAAAAAATCGCTTGATATGGCATAATCACGATAATAATGTATCTCGACCCAAGTATCGTGACACATTATGTATCGCAAGACCCATGCCAATACTTGACCCAATTGCTAACAATACATCATGCAATGCATTCGGCATAGAAGCCTCTTCTAAATTTCACTTTAAAATGAAATTTTCTTGATAATAAAGAAGTTAGCTTCCACTTCCAAAGTAATGGTTTAACGTTCAACTAGATACGCATAACAAAGAGCTCTAAAGAAGTGTGACAACCCTAACTGGAATGTTTCCAGTTGCATGGCTGCAGAAAGATATCTGAATGGCTCAGACCTACCAGGTTTTAGCAGATTTCTTAAAGAAGCACAGAGTCTAACACCTGAGCTAACTCTCTCCTGAATCCTTCAAGTCTGCAGTGATTAATATATTTGTGTCTGCAGTCCTTCCAGGACTAGGCTCCTGTCAGCGAGGACTATATGTAGCTCTGCAGCTATTGTGCTCCCTCCCTGCTGAGTTGTAAGGCTGTGTGTGGATATTTTTGTATGGTGGCTCCCAAGTGAGCACACAGTAAATCTGAGGTATAGAAGAGAGCACGGTGGGGAAAAGCTTGGGCCAGTTTTGCTCTATAAGAAGAGATGGATGGCTGGATGGAGGGAGGAAGAGGAGGGGCGGGTCGGATGCTGATTGAGCACGCCGCTTGTTTCACTGTTTGTCTCTCCGGATTGGAAGTCGGACTACAAAGAGGTTTTGAAACGAACGCCTTATCTTCTTTCATTTCCCTATTTTTTCATCAGAAGCTCCTCAGATCACTGTGAATTAGCGAGCTTCTGTCACAACAAGGGTCCTGGGACGCTCGCTCGCCTGCCCTCTATACCCTCGCACCACGCCCTCTCCCCTCCGCTGCCATCCAGCCCCATTACGCTGAGACTCTGCACTGCGCTCTGCCAAAGTGCCGATCTCCACATGTATGATTACAGCTGGCTCTGATCTTTATTCTGGAGAGAGCAGCAGGCAGCGCTCGTCTTGGCAGGCCTCCGCTCGGGCTCCTTTTATGCTGCATTACAAGAGTGGGATGGAAACCGAACGAAGCCGTTGTCTCCGAGTTTCCAAACTTTCTAAATCAGAGTTCCTCTCGGGTGTTAAGACTCTGTGCTCATCTTGAACTCTCCTTGTAAAATCCTACATTATACATATAGGAGGAGGTTCAGGGACGTTCTTGTTGCATGTTTTGCTCCATATGTTTCCTTTTTCTTTGACAAGCTCCACGACCATGAAAAGAAAAATGGCACACACTGACTCTCCACTGCACCTCTCAGTACGCACATCAAAATGAAACATCCCATTCTGCATATTTACCCGTTCTTCCTACTTCTCTCCCCTTTTTCTAGTAAATACAAAACGAAGAGCTGTACTCAGTATTGATGGACATCACAGATGAAAACAACGAAGAGAGGAGAACTAGCTTTAAGAAAATAACACAAGAAGAAGATGAAAAGGAGTCCCTCTACTGAGGCTGGCGAGGGAAGACGGGAGGCGTACAAAGTGGCGCCACGGCAGTGGTGTCAAACCAGCCACAAACTTGACAGATGGAGTGAGCCAGTTTCCACCAGGGACCACCTTTTTGCCGGGTAGAAAAAAAAAAAAAAAAAGACAGAGAGAAGGAAGTGTCCCGTTATTATAAAACATTTTATTTTTCTATACTTTTGTGATTTACAATGGTAAAAAAAAAAAAGTGTGTATAAAGCAGTATATATGTACAAATCTGTTTTTATGTTTTTTGGTAAGGGAGATGAACAGTTGGCCCTTGATGCTGATTCTGTGGTATGCAGGAAGGAGGAGGGAGGATGACCTCCCCAACCCCCGCCTCCTCTCTCTATGGCACACTGCTCTGTCACAGAGGTCGTGTAAAAAAAAAAAAAAAATGAAACGAAAGAAAAAAAAAAAATTCACCAAGGTGGCAGGGAGAGCTCGGCATCCAGGCAGATGCACTTTCTACGCTGTACTTCCTGTAGGCGGAGTCTCACAGCTCCGCCTTCTTCCTTCCAACCTCCTTCCTTCCTTTTTTTTGGGGGGCGGGGGGGGCCGATGAAGATGATGCCACCTCCACTTCCGCGCCTACTGTAAAGCAGCGTCCCCCCCCCTCCCCCCGTGGATACTGTCGTGATGTCACTTCCTTTTTTTTTTTTTGGCGGCACCATTGGGCATCCCCGCCCTCCCCAATGGGCAGCGTCGCTAGTTTACAGCTTTGGGGAGTGGGGGGGGTGAGCCACGGCGGGACGGTGTACAGCCGAGCCTCCCCGTCTGCCCCTCTCCACGCCCCGGCAGAGGTCACTGACTTTCGGACTACTTAAGAGGGTAAAAATGGCGCAAGAACCCACTGACTTTACTCACCTGCCAGACTCCGAGCCCAAGCCTTTGTGTCACTTTGCACCGACGGATGAACTGTCAGACCAACACGAAAAACAAGGTGCGTACAACTACCAAGGATGCACGTTTCCATCCGACGAGAATAACTCATCCACATCCATGTAACAAATTGAATTATAACCGAGTAATCCCATCGTACTACATCAGCAGGTGCATAACCAAAAGACAAGCCTGAGGCATATAGACTGTGTCGCTAGATGAAACATTATAGAAATACAGTAGTGCCCATCCAACAGTATCAAGGAACGAGGGCTGAAATATGTGATTTCTTTTTGTCAATGTATTCTGAGAATATTTGTGTGTTTTTTTTTCAGCACTCAAAACTTTTGAACAGAAAAAAAAAAGAGTTTTAATTTTATGAAAGCAGAACCTTAATTCTTTATATCAGGAGTCACTGTAAACGTGTTTAATCAAGAATGTTGGTTCAGTTTCTGAATGTAGTCTAGGGTGTCCAATAAGTATGTATTCTTTTTCTGTATATAAATATATATACATATCTATTATATGGGCTGTGGTGATGTCAGGGAATAGAGGGGGTGGCAGGAAAGCCTCCGGACCCCCGAGCATAGTTATCAGAACCCCCCCACCCCCCTCCTCCCGCCCCCCCCTCAAACTAAATATGTCCCTGATATTTACTGTAACATGTGATCATGTGCTATATGATTGAAAGTGTGACGGTGATGGTGTGAACTGATCTCCCCTTGAATCCCGACTTTTTTAACCCGCAAACACGCTGTGCAGTTTCCTCCCAGACCAACGACACATGCTGGATTACAGACCCCATCAGAGCGAAGCGCCGTAGCCCGCTTTCCTTTCCGGAAGACAAAGGTTTACATTCGCAGTAACTCTGACCCCTTCCACCGGAGCTGCAAAAGACTTCCTAATTAGCGTTTTAAGGTGTTGTTGGTGTCGGATAAAAAGTTTATGAATATTGATTTGTCTTTCTTACCAGAACCAAAGTATGATTTGAACACACAGGCTCAGTGCTCTTTGATCAGGAGACAGCGGGACTCTGGGAAGACGGCGGAGCCCGGATGCATATTGACGTGACCCAGATTTCATTCACTCATCGCTACAGAGGAAGAGCTCGCTTTTAACGAGCTGTGCTGGAGGAGCCCGGCGCGCAGCTTCCTGTGGCGGCCTCGGTTTACCGACCGCTAGTCTCACGCTGACCCTGGTGGGCGGCAGCTGGTTTCTAACTGCATATTGGATATAACCTGCTGGCCCTCACCAGAAACTTTTACTTTTTCTTTTTTTTTAAACAGAGGTGAGCAGGTTGGGGTGAAGCACAACTTAGTTTGAGAGTTCAGGGTACGCTACTTGGTTAGTGATGGATTGTGAAGAAGGATATTATAGATTAAGCTCCAGACTTCCTGTACAAAACAACACAGTGTACTGTTAATATTCTGTACAGTAAATCTCACCTCACACGTCTTGATTAACTTCATCTTCTTTCAGGTTAAAAATAAGTGAAACATAGACTCGTTCTGAATCAGGGCTCCTATCCACGCGACCTCTGTTCATCTGTAGACAGCCTCCTATATATTACAGAGTATCTATATCATGGCAACTAACTGTTGTGAAGTCTAATTGGGGTAAAGTCGGTCATTTGTCCCCCCCCTCATACAGCTTTCATCTGCAGATTTAGCATCTTCATAATTGTTGGTTTGTTTCTGAGAGTCATCTAGATTGTTCTGGCCTACTTAGAGCTCCGCAGACTCGAGGTGGGTCAAAAAAAACTCATGAGCAGGTTGGAGTTTTAGTTTGCCGACAACTTCTAGGGAGCCAGAGATAAAGAGCCACAGTTTGTCTCCTCTTCCTCCTCCTTCCTCTTTTTTTGTTTTGTCACAAAGTTGGAATTTATCCACTGAATAATCTATGCATACAGCAACAAAACACTTGATGTCATGTGTGATAGGCACATTTTCTGAAAGAACACTGTTGTGTACTTATTCTAGTTAGCTACTAGCAGATCAAATCTGACGGGATGAAGCTGGTATTATTATTATTATTATTATTATTACGTGTTTTAGTTTTGTCAACAAATCGAAGAAAAAGTGAAAAAAAATGTGTGTTTGTCTTCAGTACTCTCTGACTTAGTTACACTGTTTTTACAAACTAGAAAAAAACAAAAAAAAAACAAACAAAAAAGTGTAGTTTCTAGCAAATGCTACTCCGATAGTAAGTAAGCTCAAGTGCATTTCTTGGGGACTATTTTCAGCAGCGGATGAATTCACTAAAGGTGCTGTTGTGAGTTTTTTTTTTGTCAGTGGATGTGATAAAGGAACATTTCTCCACCTGCAGCAGATTTTGATGTATTTTTCTTTAGGGAACCATCAAGCTCTCTGTATCTGTTTGGGTTTGACTTATTTTTAAATCTGTTTTTATTTTATTTTTATTTTTTGTTTCAAGTTGAAGGACACAGCATTACTTTGAAGGAGTGATGTCCAAAAAAAAAAAAATAAGGCATGTATGATATCAAGCTGCCTCCGCTTCAGTTTATGCAAACCACGAAAAAAAAAAGTTAACAAATTTTTAAACTAAAGGTTTGAGCTCTGAAAATAGCAACATTTGCAGTAAATTGTGCAAAAATAAACGACCCAATCTTCATTTGTTTCTTGTATTAAGTGTCGTAGAGGTAGGAATAGGAAATAGGGGCTGTGTGCAATGTTGCCATTCTAAGTATTCTTCTGATGTTTACCTTCAGCTCATTTTTGATCCACGGTTCACAGGTAAAACCGACACAAAAAAACAACCTAAACTGAACCAATGACACTCGTCACCTCTTCTACAGTACTTGTTTCAAACATATATGCAGCTTTGCAGCCAACTTTAAAGTGCAGGTTTTGTAAAAAAATAAATAAAAAAGCAAAACACAACTGAAGAGAAAATAAAAGTTCATGTAGAGGTGTGGTAATGGAGAGTCCCACCATGCTTATTGCAGCTCTTAATGCATGAAGGTATTTTGTTTTTAAATTTATTTTTTTCCACCTACCCACTACAGCTCCCATGACCCTCCCTCCCCCGCTGACGGCGTGTAGCTGCCACAGCCATCATGTGAGCTGCAGTTGAACAAACTAAGAAAAAAAGTATAAAAGATGAATTTTATTGCCTTAGAATTTTTATCCAGTTGATATGAAAATACTAAATAGATTTTAAATGTATAAATGGAAGTAGTTAGGCGTTAGCAGTGGTGAGGTAGACCTTGAGAAGACACTGTTTTTAACCTTTTAGGGCCGCTTTGTTCCCACTGTGGTTGTTTGTCTCGGCTCGCCGGCGGACGCTCTGAACCCAAACGGCGTCCAGAGCGTTCCTGTTGAGATAAAGGAAAAAAAAAGGCCGATCTAAAACTCCAGCCTGCGTCGTAGCAGTGGGACGGAGCGGAGGGGGGGTGTGGGGTTCCAGCGACCCTCTCTTCCTTCCTTCAGATGCCTTTAATTTAAGAAAAAACAAGAAAAAAAAATGGTCCTGATCTTCCTGAGCACAACTGCTTGAGCTGTGACACTTGCAGGATGCCCCTCGCTTCCATTTTAGCCCAAATAGCACCCCCACCCACCCCAGCCTTCCAGTATGTGAGTCGACTGGCCCCTTTTGTATTCCTGGTGTTCTGTACATAATAACCTTCACTCCCCCAAATGATCTCTTACTTCCTTTCAGGGGGAAAAAGAAGAAAAAAAAAATGTTAAAAACATAAAAAAAAAAAAAGAGACTATCCTTTGACTCCCGAAATCTTGTATTTTGTTCTAATGATGACAAAATTTATTTATAAGGGATTTTTTAAAATGTATTTCTTTCTTCCTTTTGTAAATGTTCCAGTTAAATAATGTTTAAAAATGTTAAAAAATGATATGGATATATTGAAAGGTTAAAAAATATGTCTCTAGAAGTCCCCGCCCCCCCTCCTCTGGCTCTGTACTCTGAACTTTGTGTTTTTGTTTTTTCTCTTTCTGTATGCTTCTCTTTATGTGCTTCAGATGAAGAGTTCTATTTATTACGACATTAACGTTATTATAATTATGACTAATTATTAATATTATCATCCTCATCATCCTCATTATTATCATTAATAAACTTGTCTACTTCAGCTGCTGTGTGTCTGGGTTGTTTATGGTGACTGATGGCTTGCCATACGCTCGGCCCGGACCGGGGAGTCCCACGGCGCGACCCAGGCGCCCCATGTGATGAGGCAGGTGGAAATGGGCGGGGCTTTTTTTCCTCCAGCAATACCTCTTCTACCAAACCCTTGTGGGGCTACAAGATGGAGAGCACCCGTCTGCTGCAGAGGCCGACATTTACCTGCCGACGCCACCTTTTCAGGGCGCAGACGGAAAGCGAATACATGTAAATATTACAGAAGATCAGTTTCTTATCATGGTTGCTGGCTTTGTTTAATCCTCGGAGCCTGTGCAAACAATAAGACATTTTTCTATCAAAAAAAGATGGAAGGTATCGGAGATCCATTGTTGTTTGTGTTTCTCCATCATCACATCAACATTTACACAATGAGACCTCTGAAGGCCTCATTCCAGCAGATATATCTTAGCTGTTCCTCTATTTAAATGTCACATCTTTTCCTAAAGGCCATAACTTAGATTTCTGCCGGTAACAATATCTGCAGACACTCGATCGCTACTTTTGTCAATAGCTGATCCAAAATTAAACAAATATGGAGTTGTGCATTGTTCTGACATCTTCCCTTTCAACGGAAAACAAAGATCTGAATCAGAGCTTCAGAGTTCAACTAATTATAACCTCAGTCAAAACCAATCTGAGGCAGAATAGGGATTTCTAGTTTGGCGCCACCCTGTGGAGAGAGGTGTTCACAGTGAGGTCTTACAGAAACTCCAGTGCAGGAAAAAACAGTGAAGGATTGTTTTATATTAACATGTAAAGGTAAAAATCCCAGATTCTATAAAAAATCTTTTTTAGTTTCAACTCAAACAGGTTTTTACCTTATTTTTTCAAAATTCCGTCTTTTCCTTTCAGTCCATATTTACTGACTTTGAAAGTTTATTTTTATATAATCAAGAAAAAATGATTCAACAAAATAAAGACTGTAACTGAAGAAATACATAAAAGTACTGTGGCTCATTATAATACTCAGCATTTTTTTAAGTTGTCCTTTTAAATGAATAACAGAAAACTTTACAGATTACAGATTTTACTACGTATACAACTGTTCCACTTTCCTTAACGGAAACAGAATTCAAACTTCTGAAAGCATTTTAAATATGAAATTATTACAAACTGTTCAATAAAAAGTGTTTTTAATTAGGAGTCATTTTCATGTGAATGTGCTTTACTGGAGGCATCCATGTTTGTCAAAGAACACTACTGCCACCTACTGGTTTGTGACGTCACGGTGCGGTATCGGCTGTTGATCAAGTCCCAGTGCTGTATCTGGTGTTTGTCACAACGCGCTATTATCCAAGTCATCTTGAAAACATTCTTCTTCCAAATGTTGGCTACATATTACGGGTTTTTTCTCTGGCCAGAAGTTCGATGGCAAATCCTCCCTCTTCAAGTTGGCGATCAAACGACCAACCCGTCCGTGGAGGATCAGGAATCAGAAAGGTGGAATAACTTTTTTTTCACTTTTCCCCGATGTATTCCAGCATCCAACTGCCATGCACGTGGGCATTGTCGGTTTCACTATAGCTCTGGTGAATTTCAATGGTGAAGTCCTCTGGAAATCTTCAATAATTGTTGTTGATTGCAGATATGTCTTAGCCTGATAAACCAGACTAGTAACAGAAAGCCGTATTCGTCCTTTTTAAAAATGAATGCGCGTAGAGCCTCTTCCTGCTCACATTTAACGAAAACCCCAAGTCTAATCCTTCCAAAACTGATTCTAAAGCTGAGTCAAACCAGAACTGCTCTATAGTTGTAGCCATCTTCCTTGTTGTGCTTTCTCCAGCGTCGCGCAGCTTTTTAGTCGCGCCCTCAAACCCCGCCCGCTTTGCATCCAAAAATTGAAAACACATCTCTGCGTTGTGATTGGCCCGCCAGTTCTAGGGCCTGGGGCATTGATCGAGGCTAGACCAAAATGATTTTGGCTGCTGGCGGGTGGGGCTAGTTTACAAGCAAAATCAATGGGAACTACTAGAAATACACCTTCTTCTTGTCCACACTTTCGGTTTTCTCCTGCCTGAGGTATTCGCCAAGCCATTTGTCTTTGGGGTCCATCTTTCTGATGTACTCCTGGATCTTAGCTGTTTCATCCTGGACAGTGGTCTTGACACTCACTAGCCCTCGGCCTCCCTCGCTACACTTGGTATACAGTCTCAGGGTGCTGGATTTGGGGTGAAACCCTCCATGCATTGTGAGGAGCTTTCTCATCTTGATGTCAGTAGCCTCTATATCCTCTTTTGGCCAGTATATTATACCAGCGGGGTATTCGATGACTGGCAGGGCATATGTGTTGATGACTTGGATCTTGTTTTGCCCATTCAGCTGACTTTTCAGGACTTGCCTTGCTCTTTGTAGGTATTTAGCTGTGGCAGTCTTTCTTGCTATCTCCTTGTGGTTTCTGTTAGCCTGTGGCGCCCCAAGGTATTTGTAGCTGTCCTGAACATCTGTAATGTGGCCTTCTGGTAGTTCAACCCACTCGGTTCTGATCATCTTCCCTCTCTTTGAGACCATGCGACCGCACTTGTCCAGTCCGCATAACATTCCAGTGTCGTTGCTGTAGATCCTGGTAGTGTGGATCATTGAGTCGATGTCTCACTCCTGGCATACAGCTTGATGTCATCCATGTAGAGGAGGTGACTGAGGATTGTTCCGCTTCAGAATTGGTATCCATAGCCAGTCTTTGTGATGATCTGGCTGAGGGGGTTCAGGCCTATGCAGAACAGCAGCGAGGATAGTGCATCGCCTTGGTATATGCCGCACTTGATTGTGACTTGTGCTATTGGCTTTGCATTGGCTTCCAGACTCATTTTCCACAGCTTCATCGAGTTCTTGATGAAGGCTATTAGAGTCCTGTTGATCTTGCACATTTCCAAGCATTCCAGTATTCATCAAGTCAAGTCAAGTCAGCTTTTATTGTCACTTTCTTCATATGTACAAGACATACAAGGGAAATTAAATTACGTTTACTCTCTACAATATACATTTATACAAGAAATATACAAGACTGACATTTAAAAACTGACAAAGTGCGGGACATGACAGGTAACAGTGGTAAGAAAAATATAAATATGAAGTATAGACATTACAATAAAAGCAATAAAACAGCAGCAATAGTTTGTTCCAGGCTGAGGTAGTGCAGGTAATTCATGTGGTATTGAGTAGGCTTTCTTATAGTCAATCCAGGCAGTGCACAGATTTGTCTGCCTGGTCTTACAGTCTCGAGTGACTGCTCTATCCACCAATAGCTGGTGCTTGGCTCCTCAGGTGTTACTGCTTATTCACCTCTGGGAAGAGTGCATGTATTGAGCCATGTGCCTACTCATCTTAGCCGCTATGATGCCTGA